GCAAATAGTGAATCTGTGGCATCTTACTACACTGATGGACAGTGACTGCAATGGGTGAGGACTTGCTAATATGTGTAAATGTAGTAACCACATTGTTTCTTCATGTGAAACCTTCGTAAGAGTGAATATCAATAATATGTTAATAAAGAATTTTAAAAAAATCAAAAAACAAACAACAAAGCAAAAACTGAAGGAACAAACAGCAGAAGACTCACAGAACCCAAGAATGGACTAAAAGTTACTAAAGGGAAAGGGACTGGGGAGGATGGGTGGGAAGGGAGGGAAAATGGGAATAAGGGGAATAAGGGGCATTACAATTAGTGCACATAACATAGGTGGGGCAGGGGCACGGGTAAGGCAGTATAGCACAGAGAAGAGAAGTAGTGACTCTATGGCATCCTAGTATGCTGATGGACAGTGACTGTAATGGGGTATGTGGTGGCGACTTGATAATGGTGGGAATCTAGTAACCACAATGTTGCTCATGTAATTGTATATTAATGTTACAAAAAAAAATGACAGAGGCAAAAAAAGAAAATGAAAAGTCCCATGACTCCCAGAAATACTCCATCTTGTGTTCTCTGGGAGTGAACACCTCTCCCCCTGTTTTCTGTGTCTATAGTTATGCCTTTTCCAGAATGTCATATAAATAAAACCATACTATTAAAAAAAAAACAGACCTGTACCTGCTTTACAGTGGATTACTTTAAATGGCAGAATCCTTACTTATAAAATTACCTTCATCACTAAAATGTTAAAACACCATCGAATATAAAACATTCTATTTATTGAAATACAGCAACAGCAATGAATATTCAACAAGTACTTAATAACATCTATAAATAATTCTGTTGTAGCACATCACTTTTATCTATGAATAGTGTCTATCTAAATTTGTAGACTACTTAAGAATGAAACAGGAGAGATATACTCATTCAAAGAGTTAGTCCTGCAGTGAAGTTGAGGAGAAAAGGGCATAGTTCTTATAAAGATAGCAAATGGATAGTTGAATTTAGAGTAATTATTTCTGTGTTCCAAGAGAAAACTATAATGGCATTCTACATTTTTAAAGAGATTAAAAAATAAATTTTCAATATAATACACTAAAAAAGTTAATGGAGAACAAATAGTTCAAAAATTCATATGGAAACACCAAAATCCACAAATAGCCAAAGCAATCCTGAGAAGGAAGAATAAAGTGGGGGGGATCTCGCTCCCCAACTTCAAACTCTACTACAAAGCCACAGTAATCAAGATAATTTGGTACTGGCACAAGAACAGAGCCACAGACCAGTGGAATAGAATAGAGACTCCAAACATTAACCCAAACATATATGGTCAATTAATATTCAATAAAGGAGCCATGGACATACAATGGGGAAATGACAGTCTCTTCAACAGATGGTGCTGGCAAAACTGGACAGATACATGTAAGAGAATGAAACTGGATCACTGTCTAACCCCATACACAAAAGTAAATTCAAAATGGATCAAAGACCTGAATGTAAGTCATGAAACCATAAAACTCTTAGAAAAAAACATAGGCAAAAATCTCTTGGACATAAACATGAGTGACTTCTTCATGAACATATCTCCCCAGGCAAGGGAAACAATAGCAAAAATGAACAAGTGGGACTATACCAAGCTGAAAAGCTTCTGTACAGCAAAGGACACCATCAACAGAACAAAAAGGAACCCTACAGTATGGGAGAATATTTTCATAAATGACAGATCTGATAAAGGGTTGACATCCAAAATATATAAAGAGCTCATGCACCTCAACAAACAAAAAGTAAATAATCCAATTAAAAAATGGGCAGAGGAGCTGAACAGACAGTTCTCCAAAGAAGAAATTCAGATGGCCAACAGACACATGAAAAGATGCTCCACATTGCTAGTCGTCAGAGAAATGCAAATTAAAACCACAATGAGATATCACCTCACACCAGTAAGGATCACCACCATCCAAAAGATAAACAACAACACATGTCTACGAGGTTGTGGAGAAAGGGGAACCCTCCTACACTGCTGGTGAGAATGTAAATTAGTTCAACCATTGTGGAAAGCAGTATGGAGGTTCCTCAAAAAAGCTCAAAATAGACATACCATTTGACCCAGGAATTCCACTTCTAGGAATTTACCCTAAGAATGCAGCAGCCCAGTTTGAAAAAGACAGATGCACCGCTATGTTTATCACAGCACTATTTACAATAGCCAAGAAATGGAAGCAACTTAAGTGTCCATCAGTAGATGAATGGATAAAGAAGATGTGGTACATACACACAATGGAATATTACTCAGCCATAAGAAGAAAACAAATCCTACCATTTGCAACAACATAGATGGAGCTAGAGGGTATTATGCTCAATGAAATAAGCCAGACGGAAAAAGACAAGTATCAGATGATTTCACCCATATGTGGAGTATAAGAATAAAGAAAAACTGAAGGGACAAAACAGCAGCAGAATCACAGAACCCAAGAATGGACTAACAGTTACCAAAGGGAAAGGGACTAGGGAGAATGGGTAGGAAGGGAGGGATAAGGGTGGGAAAAAAGAAAGGGGGTATTACGATTAGCATGTATAATTAGCATGTGGGGGGGGTCATGGGGAGGGCTGTGCAACACAGTGAAGACAAGCAGTGATTCTACAGCATCTTATTACACGGATGGACAGTGACTGTAATGGGGTGTGTGGGAGGGACTTAGTGAAGGGGGGAGTGTAGTAAACATAATGTTCTTCATGTAATTGTAGATTAATGATAACAAAAAAAAAAGTTAATGGAACTTGGTGAAGGAGGGAGCCTAGTAAAGATAATGTTCCTCATGTAATTGTAGATTAATGATACCAAAATGAAAAAAAAAAAAGTTAATGGATTGTTTCAAATTCTATGCTTGGTGCCTAAAAATAAAGACTAAAAAATTTTATAATTAAGCAGAGCATAACTACATTGAATTTACAAGTCTCTTTTTTTTTTGCTGTCTTGTACTTCAAATTAAATGATTAACAGATAACAGTTTATTGGCCTCGTTAGCCACAAAAGCATGTTATTTTGGTAAGATTTTATGTGAATAAAAACAAACTGACTAATTGTGGGTCAAATAGGAACACTTAGAAGATAACTAATTTTTAAGGCTCATATTATTTTAGGTCTAGTATCAACTAAGTAAAACTGTTCTTAGGATAGCTAAAACACAAGCTGAGAATCCTCTGGAATATGTATACAAACATATACTAAGATTTCAAATATTCTATTTGGTTTCACTTCTCTCTCTGTGAGTTCAACTTCTGTTTAGCCAGCTGAAAATACTTATTTTTAAATGCTTGTATTCAAACTAAAAGTTAGAAATCCACCAAATCAAAAAATGCCTGAAATAATAGTGGGAACAAAGAATAACTGGGTTAAATTAAAACAAAATGGAGCCACTATATTAAGAATAAATGTCCAAGAGATACTTCTTTTAATTAAAAAAGAGCAAAAACATTTTGGCCTTTACATTTGAAGCATTTTTCAAAACCAAAATGTACAAATATTTAGAAATAATAGTCAAGTTCTTCAAAACAATTAAATGAGAAACTTGAAAGTTATACCCACAATAAATGCTTCTAAAATTTACTATAACCTAGAATCATTACCTAAGAGATAAATCTGAAGAAAACTGCCAAAATGGTCTCAAGGCAATCAAAATTCAAGCATTAAAAGGTGAATATAGAAGGTAGCAAATGTGATAAAAATGAAAGCATCTAAGAAACTGTGGCCAAAGATAATCTCATTTCAGAAGATCCCTTTGCTAATGCTAGCTAAGGCTTAAAGGTTTTAGAAACTACCCTTTCTGTTTTTTTTCCACCAGAGAAAGCTGCCCTTAATGCTGCTAAAGATTAAAAGATTCAAGCTGGTTAGATTTCTCCTGGCAAAGCTCTGACCTCAGGTTTGAGGAGTGAAATATCTTTTTGAAATGTGTCTAGGACATTAACATTCTGGTTTTCTACCTTTTGCCTGCATGTACGTAGGCAAGTAATGTACTGAGAGTGATACATAAACTAGCATTGTAATGAAATCTCCTCTAACTTTCACACACTGTCTAACACAAGAATGATATTCTTGATTCCAAGTGAGATTACGATTGAGGCTGAAAAGCCATTCAACTGTCCATTGTCTTCCCCATTTATAAAATAAAGTAACCACTCAGGATATAATCACTTAATTTTTATAAATACTTTGAAAGATAATAATAATTAGCATCAGTAATGTCAACTTCTAAGGACTCTATTAATTTTTAGAAAATGAAAGTGAACCACCAAATTAATGGTTATGGAATCTTTCCTAGTACTTTGTGGAATCATCTAAAATAACAATTGGACTAAAGTATAAATATTTCAATAATTCAGTATAATATGTCATCTAATGCTTCTTAAAAAATCCAATTTATATAAAGTAAATAGAAAAGTAATTATGTATAAGTATACTCAAATATATTCAACTATTTAAATATCTAAGCATAAGATATGCTTAACCTAAATCAAAGTATTAATATCATGATTTTTATAATTACAGTGAACTATTAGTAGACTATGTATTGAAAACATGTTTTCAGGAATTGTTCTAGTAAGTCTTGAAGCATTTTTCTGGATATAGGCAAAAGAGTAATAAAATTTCTAGATCAATTTCCCCACACTAAAGGTCTCTGCCCTCATGAACTTCATTTTTCTTGTTTACCACTGTTATCATAGCACATGGTGCCTTTCAGCAAATATTAATCAATTAAGAAATATACCACATAGACATATTATGAAGTATGATGCTGTTTCCTTTGAAATTAAAGCAGCCAAAACACCTGTATTTGTAGTTTTAAAGTACATTTTTTAAAGAATTGTTAAGAATATATCTACTGCTTTTAAAAGAAAAGCTTTTAAAACTTCAGCCAAATATAGTACCATGGGATCTAGAGGGAACACATTCAGTATCTGAGTTTTACCAGACCAAAACAATGGAACACATACTTGCCATAGCTTCCTCAGCATTCTGTTCTTTGACATGGAAGGGTATCCCTTCAAATTAGGAGGTGCTTAGCTCAGGCCATCATTACCAACAGGTCCAAAGTACCTATCTGCCATCTCCTACAAAAAAAGTAATATCACTTTATTATTCTAGATATGATTCAGTCTTTAAAATTTATGACTAGGCTTTTTAAAACTAAATGTAATCTTTGAAAACAACCTTAATTTCCTCAGAGAAATTTTTAAAGAATCATCTAAATGCCAAACCCACTATTAGTAAAAAACACAAAAATTGAAAACTATTTTAAAAAATTCTATCTATATTATTATATAAAATAACCAAGTTATTATTATATGATTTTCAATAAAAATTCTCAAAATCTGAATGTTTACACGCTATATGAAAGTTGAGATGATAAAATTGGGAATTGTAAAGAATAAGTATGAAAGTCATAAAAGGTAAGTTAGTTAGACTAAATGGAGATGTTTATATTTTACACAGAAAGCTGATATTTGTATCCTAATATGTATTAATTGAAGTCGAGTATATTATTAATGCTGGCAGCAAGCCAATACTATTAAATCAACTAGTGGTATTCCATCCCTAAACAAGTAGTATCTAATAGAATGACTGGTGTTCAAATCTTTCGTTTTTTGCAAGAAAGCTACTGAGTGGCTTTTCAATTAGTGCACTATGAAGTATTAGACTGTACAATCAAACAGACTGAAAATCATTCTCTGAAAACTGAGATTTTTGTCCAAAAATGTTGAGGTATATTTTTCAGTGTAGTTAGATCAGGAAAATTTAATAAAAACTATAATTGCTTCTCTTATTAAATAACAGTAAATAATGCTTTTGTAGGGTTGAAGCAGTTTTTTCTTTAAGCTCTAAAACTCTGTAAAACATAGTGAATGAAGATGATCTCCCCAAAATATCTTCCCTATTGATTCCTGCTATTACTACATACAAGTTTATGAACAGTCCTCTTAAGCCAACAAATAATGTAAATACATAAACCCTTTAGTAAAGTATTTCTAGGTTAAGTTAAATCTTAGGCTGAACAGTTACATGATTTTCATGAAAGGTGAAAGAGCATTTTCCTGGTAGGCCCTCTGTAACATCCTGTTATCTTTGCAGTCTGTCTGGGATTCTACAATTTCATTTCTGGGCATCTCCTGGTTTGGACACTTCTTAGCCACCCTTCTACAGGATGTGGACTAGAAGAGAAGATAGGGAACAGCTGCCAAAGAGGGGAGGTTACTTTCCAAAATGAGTTATTAATATAATAATAAATTGGTAACCTATCTGAATCTATTATTTTTTTTTTGAGAGGGCATCCCTCATATTTATTGATCATATGGTTGTTAACAACAATAAAATTCTGTATAGGGGACTCAATGCACAATCATTAATCAACCCCAAGCCTAATTCTCAACAGTCTCCAATCTTCTGAAGCATAACGAACAAGTTCTTACATGGTGAACAAGTTCTTAACATAGTAAATAAGTTCTTACATGGTGAACAGTGCAAGGGCATTCATCACAGAAACTTTCGGTTTTGATCACGCATCATGAACTATAAACAATCAGGTCAAATATGATTATGTTTGATTTTTATACTTGATTTATATGTGAATCCCACATTTCTCCCTTATTATTATTATTATTATTTTTTAATGAAATGCTTAAGTGGTAGGTAGATGCAAGATAAAGGTAGAAAACATGAATCTATTATTTTTTAAGCCTCTTTTTTTTACACTGAAGTATAGTTGATATACTGAATTCATTCTTAAATCACACAGCAATTGCAAGATGTTTTACCGAACAAGAATCTCTAGAGAAGAGCTGTCGAGACATGTAAAGGCACAAGGCAGCTAGAGGAGCAAAAGAGCTCCTCAGTACTTCTGGGTGAAAAGCATACTTGCTTGATGTTATTTCAGTTCCTGATACTGAAATTACAATACTTCTAAATCAAAGTATCTTTAAAATTAAGGATGAGAATGAACTTCAAAAATTAAAGAAGTCATCTCAACCATAAACATTACATAATAAAATAGGTCAGTTGTTTTGGCAGTAAGATGGACTATAAATAAAGTTGAAGAGCTTGGGCTTTGGAATCAGACTGCATGGGTTCAAATCCAGCTGTGTGGCCTTAGACCGAAGTGATTTAGCCTGTCTGTGTCCTAGCCCTCCTCAGCTGTAAAATGAGGCTAATGATAGTACTTAATAGAGTTGTTGTGAGGATTAAAAGAAACAACAAATGAAGTGTTTGGAGTATTCTTTGGCACTTAGTAAGTCCACAGTTAGACTTTTCTGACTTTTATTTAAAGTATTAACTGTATACAACAAAGGATGTCTTTGTTTAAAATGTATTAAATATTGAAACACTAAAAATATTTTAAAAGCCCAGGCAACAACAATTTTATTTTCCATTCCATACCTTTGAGCATGTTAAACAATTTTAGAACAAGCTGGTCTTTTCGTTCCTCACAACAACCAAAAAACAGGGAAAGACAGGCCTTTTATAAAGGGGGAAAAGGGAGTTACAAATCCTATGGGAAATAGGAAATCACTAAAATTTAATGACAAAAGTTATTTTATTTAAAATGATAAATGTGTATATGATACGCTTATCACTTTACTGTTTCAAGTTTTTAGATAAACTTTGATAATATGCTTTTAAAAAAATCTAAATCTGAAAACTGAGAACAAAAATCCTGCATATGATTTACTCAATTTTGACTCCCTTGAATGTTATTCTTAACTGCTCATTTCTTTCTTTTTTAAAAGTATATTATCATATTTCATTAGACCAAAGGTACATAAAACCACCACCATAATGTACTTATACCTCTTAAATACATTATGGAATACTGATTATATAAACTGCAATGATCAAGTATCCATTGAGACCAAAACTTGGCAACTACATACAAGTTTACATAAATATGTACTTTAAAATTAACTGTATAAAATACAGCTGTCCAAAATGTAAACTCAAATGTATATCCTGATCAGTGATCTGAATCAGCAGCTTTGGTCATGTAAATCTGGTTACTCAGGATTACAAATTTATCAGAGCAAAATGTCTAATATTATGGGAACACTGGTTATTATTCAAAGGCTAGTATCATAGTTTTTCCTTTCAAAGAAATGTAATTTAAATTATTTCTGAAGTTACAAAGAATGATTTAAAATGATTTTAAGTTGGAAAAAATTTAGATGTAGAAGTGAATGTGCGGTATCAGCCATTATCATAAACAGTGCAACAGATATTTCCAATACCTCCCTGAATTGATTGAATATGATACTAGAGTAAAAACTAGCGTAGGCACTGAACTTTCAGCACTGCTAACATTCAGGTAAGTAGTCTTTTGAGCCCAAATCCAAAATGCTGCAATATACATAAAAAGGTGATTTCCTCAGCTCTATTGGTAATCATTTTAGTAATTTTAAGATGTACTTCCATTTAAATATAAAGCCATAATTTAAAACAAACTTTTAAAACTTTCAAGTATCACATTTTGTACCCTAATTACAGGAAAATGTAATTTTCATTACAGGAAAGAAAATGTTTAATACATCATAATACCTTTCAGTCTCAAATTGAAATATATACAATATGTAATATATAATAAAAGGAGAGAAACCTCCAAAATGAACCACCTCACCTATGCTATTACGTTCATTAATAAAATAATTGTAAAACTTGATTTACATTTGTTGGAAAAAAAGAACTTATAATGCAATTGTCGTTAAAGGTGAAATAATTGCTACATCATTATGAATTGTCCTCCAAATCCAGTGAAAAAATAAGCTTGCTATATAAGGAAAGGACATTTGCTAGTGAGTGTTCAATAGCACAGGCACATTTATGTTTTCAGCCTTAGCATATTTTCAAACCATCTGGCATCAATGCCACACTGGTTCACCCAGCCTAATCTGTTCAGAATTTAATATAAAACTAAAGCTACATGCACTTTGGGGAAAAGCAAAGAATAGTACACATGTATAATAATGTTCCAAATGTGCAGTTCTAAACTAACTTGAATTTTTTTTTAAATTTCCATTGAAGACATTAAGCTCTTTAAAAAATATTAGAGTGGTTCAAGAAATCTTTTATCATCGAGCTGTCATCAGTTACCCAACTTTTACTTTCTTTTCTCATTTTACTCCGTATTACTAAATAAAACATTTGAAGAGGTACTTTCACAAAAAAAGATTCATTGATAAATGAAATGTTACCATTTGTGTATCAAAAGGAACCAAGATATTACATCTTATTATGCATAAAGTCTGCTTAGCCCTAAAATGCTCAGAGTAAAGGGAAAACAAGGAAGAAAAAATATTCCTGAAAGCCCTTTTACATCCCGTTACTATATGACTGCCTTGGAGAGTTCCCACACTTCTTTTCCTTACAAATCAAGGGGAAAAAAAAGAATTGCTTCTTAATAAATTTTAAGAATCTATGGGTATAACTAGGGCCAGTATCCCTTTTAGAATCAATTCCTATTCATCCTTGCTTGGCATAAACACAAACGACTTTCTCGGGGTAATTTTTTCAGAAACAAAGATAATTCATGTAACACCATATACAGGTTAAAGCTTTCACACGAAGACTGAGAAACAACGACCAAAACCAACAAATCTAAACCTAAGTAGGTCGGTACACGCGTACGCTCCAGCCCAATAAACAGTCACTATTCCTGTTTCTCCCCCACTCCATCGTGAACCCCTGTATTTCCCAAACTTGTAATTTTTCCCTTTTCCACTATCACTATCCCCTTAACCACCAAGAGAATTGCTTCTTCCTTTCAAGTTACATGGAATCCCAACTTAATCACATTACAGACTACCAGTTAGCCTTTCTTTATATTTTTCTAACAAAGATTCGCCTCGTCTCATGTTTTTCTTCAGATCTGGGATGAGATGACAGAGGAGCGCTGTAGAAATCCCACTCTGCCCGTTCTCTTCGTTTTACTCCTCCTCTATCCATCCACTTTCCTGCTTCCTAGTTGAAGACTTGCCAGAGCTTGATTCTTCAGTAACCTAAACTAAGGTCCCCTTTTCCGTTTCTGGGGTTTTGCTCTTTTCTTACCGTTACTTACCCACAGAGGGGAGAGGTGGGGGGAGACGTACTCAAACAAAGAATTTCGAATCTCTTTACCTAGAACTTTGGTGTAAATGCACAGGGAAAGGGCATCATCCTAGGGCTCTTCTCTCCTGCCAGTAGACCCCGTTGCCCTCACACCTCCCTCCCAGCCCTTCATCCCCGGGCAGGATGAGGAGGTTGTTTCCTTTAGGCCCTAAGGCTTGGAGTAGTAGCTCCTGGTCAGCCTCTTGGTCTCCTTTCTGAAAGGGACGGGTAACATTGCTATTCACTTTAACTTATCCCTAAATCCCAGGCTTCCTCAAAATGTAATTCAGTTCTTCGGGGCTCAACTCTGAGTCTTGCCCCGAAGTAGGAGCACGGCCTGGCCCTAACAGTGGGTCCCCAGCCTTCTCTGAAGTGGGGTATATCCTTCCCCAGTTTCTGGGGCTCTAAGCCCAATGTCAGTGCGCTCAGATTCCGCAAGAGAATCTCTCCTTACTTTCAGGGAGACTGAGTCCCCACGAGGCCACGGGCCCCCGCAGGGCAGGGATCCCAACCCCCGCCCCCGCAGGCCCCTCACTATTGCTGGGGTCCCCCATCCCTGAGGGGCCCCCCTACAGGGAGGCTCCGTCTTCACTCCCCTCAAAAATACCAACTTGCTCAGTCCTTCCGTAAACAGGACTGAGATTCCTCCCTTACAAAACCCGCACCCCGAGCTCGTTCCACGGCCGCAGAGACCCCGAAGGCGCGAAGGAGGCTCGCGGTCTATCCCTGGGCGGCGATTCTCCGCCCAGGCAGGCCCGGCCGCTCCCCCTCGGACTGGCCCCGCCAGATCCGCCCCGCCGCCCGCCGCTGCGAGCACGCTCAGCCCCCGGAGTCTCTGCCCTGGGGCTGCCCTCCCTCCATCCGACCCGCGGGGCCGCTCGCCTCCTCGACCCACCGGGCCAGAAGCGGGCTCTACGCTGCAGCTTCCCACCCGCCGACACCGGGCGCCCCGGGCCGCTGAGCCGGCTCGCGCCGCTACCTGCAGGGGCCGCCGCGCCTCTCAGCGCCCCGCAGCCGCCATCTTGCATTTCAAACCGGCTGCACTTTTCAGGGAGTCAACTCTGACCTGTGAACCCTGCACCCGGAACCTCTCGGCTGGCCGGCACAAGGCGTCCGCTGCTCGGCTGGCCCTGCAGATCTTGGAGGGTTGGGGCTGGGGGTGCGAGGCGAGGCGCGAGCCCCGACAGCAGACCGGGGGCGAAGTGAAGGGGAAGAGCCTGCCCAGGCGGGTCCTTCCCGGGCGCACGCCCTCCGTGCGCCCCGACCCCGCTCCGCGCCCGGGCCAGTTCTCCGGGACCCTGCTGCTCTCCAGGGCTGCGACCCAGGCCTCAGCCCACTGCACTGGCGCGGCGGGAGGTAGGGAGCCGCCCCACCCCTCTGTCAACATAAGCCCCGCCCCAGTCTGAGGAATCCTCGCCCTCTGTCAGCAGAAGCCCCGCCTTCTCCAGGTCTCGAAGCGGCTCTGGCCCTCGCCGGCGATAGCTCCACCTGCTGTCCTCGGAAGCCTGGTGCTCACTCAGGTCAGCCCAGAAGGCAGCCCCGCCTTCTTTCAGATGTGGCCCCACCCACTGGGCGCTCCGCCTTCCCAGTGTCACTACTGGGCAGTGAGAAACGCCCTTCGTTATTATAAGCCTCAGCTCCGGGCCGCAGTACGACCCAAGCCCCGCCCCCTTTCAGCAGAAGCCGCGCCTTCGTGAGACTGGTCTAAATTCTAGCTGAAGCCTCACCTCCTGTCAACCGCCGCCGGGCCTTTTCTTGCCTCGGGTCCTTACTCCACCACGAGTCACAGCTCCATCTACTGCTATCAAAAGTTCAGTTCAGCCTCACTTTGAACCATTGTGCAAGACGGAACGACCCTCTCTGTTCCCTCTCCTCCCCGAAAACCCTCCTTTCCACACCTCGCGAGTCACTCTTGCTGGAGGGCTTTCTTTTCAAGTCGTTGTCGTCAAATCTGGACGGCATCAATGTGAACTAGTCCCTAAGGACCCCAGATTTTGGGAAAACCGGACAGCGTCACCACCCCTCCTCACCTCCCCTTCCCTCCAACCCCCACAACATTTTTAGGGAAAGTACAAACCAAAGAAACGACTCACTCTCCAAGCTACTCTGCACAGATTCATGGGTCTAGATGTGTGAGAACTCTGGTGCCTTGATGTTCATTCCCGACCCCCATCCCAGTCATAGACTCTCCGTGCTAATAAGAGCAGTGCTTCACTGAGCCACATTAATCTGAAAATATGCAGTTGCTTAAAGTGAAATTCCGATTTTTGAAATCAGTGTGCACCAGCTTTTTATTTGTATATTAGAATTCTAGAACTTGTGGAAGCCCAAAGCTTAATGAACTTACAAGCACAGCTACTTAATCCTGCCACACTCAACACCCTGTATTTAGGACAAAAATTCACCACCACTTTACTCTCCTGGAATTAAATCCACAAGTACTGTAAAATACCAGATAACTTCAAGAAACCAATAGAAAGATGAAAAAAATTTCATTCTAAAATAATATTCACTATCAATAAAAATATCTTTTTCAGTACGTAAATACTCTGGTACCAATATGAAAACTCCCGGACAAAAACTGCACCCAGTTACTATGCCCACTGAGAACCTCTGCTTAGGACTTAATCTCTGAGGAAAGGAAATGCTTTAGATACAAAAATTGATTCTTTTGTTCCTGCATTTATCAACTAGGTTTTTGAGCACCAGCATATACCAGGTACTGTGGGAGGTGCAAATCTGAGTCAGGCAATATTTCTTGTCTTCAAGGAGATGACAGTTTAGTAACCGAGCAAAAAACATGAACATAAAAATATCAGGCAAGGTGAGGTGAGAAGAGATCAAGGAGAGGTACATGAAAAGATCCCTTTAATGTTATGAATCTCACCTGTCTCTCTCCCCACCTCCCTTTTTTCATTCCTTTTCTCCAGCCCATCCTCATCTTCATTTTCTTTAGCACCAGTTTATAGAGTCACTTCTTTCTCTCTGTAAGCTGTCTGCCTGGTTCACTGACCAATGTCAGCAGCTCAGAGTCCTCCCAGTTTAGGGCCATACCCACAGAGCATTCTGCCCAGGAAAAGTTTCAATGCCAGCGCTGAAAACAGTGTTCTTAGCTGAATTGCTGCCAGTTATTTGGTATCCTTGTACAAAGCAAGACTGTTATCATCACCACTCAAAAAAAAAAAAACTGGTTGAAGACCTAAGCAATATGAATATATGTTTAGCATAGCAGATTGTGCCAGCCCACATAAATCTGTTTAGAGCTCATGCTCACGGAGTAACTTGTTTTTACTAAAATAAGCTCATTTGTAAAAATTGTAAATACGACTGATTTCAACAGCTATGTGGCTCCAGAAGTAAGTTTTTACCCATGGATTGGCACACTTAGAAGGATCTACATTTTTTTATACATATGTTTTGCAGTTTGTCATACACAGTCTGGCATGGCAAAACTTTAGTCCTGTTAGAGATGAAAAGTTGTCCAGCAGGTTTTAAAAAGTATAGCCTTTTGTTATTCAGAGTCTCATCCACATCTGGTACAGTAAAAAATACGTATTTGTAGGAAATGAAGAACTTTGAATCAAAAGTACTAAGCCCTGGTGAAGAGGAAGAGGCTACTGACAGCACTTTTTGTAGTAGTTTCCTCCTGTTATTTTTCCTTTTTCTACTTTTGGTGAAAAAACATGATGCCATGAAACAAATCAGCTGAAAAGACATCAAACTAAGACCCTTTAAATTTTTAATTACAGTTAGGTGAACTAGAATTTAGCCCTAGCAAAATACTCTTACAGTTCTAATGGCTACTTCAGAAGGTGAACAAAAATGTTCCTGCTAAAGGTAGTTCAGAATGAACAAACTTTCAAGCCAATTTAGGATCAAGTAATTTCCTATTCCTCTTAGTGCTTGCTTTGTGAAAATAAGAATGTTATTTATAGTAGTAGTAAAAACAAGTTAATATTCTTGGTAATGCCCTCCACTCCACTCCTCCCTCAGTTCTGTATCTAGCATAAGACTATATATATGACTATAGATGCAACAAGAAAAACAGGGAAAACTGTTTTCCCAGCATTATTCAGAGTAATATACTGATGCACTTTTTTTTAAAATCATGGTGTCGAGGTTGGTTCATTCACTAGTGTGCTTGTTAGTGGCTATGTCAACACTATCTCTGAAAAAAGAATACCACTGTATCTTTTTTTACCCAAAATCTTGCGACACAATTAACCCTAGGGCCCAACTAGAAAGCATACTAGAGTGAGAGAAGACAGTGCTTCATTGTGTTTCAGATCTTAGCAGAAGAGGCTAGAACAGCAAGTCTTAAACGTTAATGTGCATGAAAATTATCAGGGAACTTTAAAATGTAGATTCTTAGACCCCACTCCCAGGGGAGTTTAATACAGTAGGTCTGGGATAAGGCTATGAATCTGAATTTAACAGGCAGCTGGTAACACTTATGTAAGTGACCTGTAGAGTCTACTTTGAGAAATCTAGAATAATGTTTTTGAGGAAAAAGTTACCACATTCCTGTAGAACCAAGGATTACAAGCTCTAAGAAGAGAGAGATCCATTCCTAAAAGTCGGTTGAATATCAACACTTGACAGTGAAATTCTATTTCAGTCATCAAGAACTTTCAGATCCATTGCAGACCTCCATCTTCCAATTCTAAGCACTTGAGATATACTGCCTCATTTTACCTTTATGGTGTCTCTGTGAGGTAGCTGGTGTTTGCAGTCACATAATGAGGAAGCCAAGGTGTGAAGGATAACCTGCCCAATGACTTGCCCAGTAACCTGCAAGGTAAGCTGGGTTTTGAGTCATCCTAACCAACCCTAAAATATTATGAAGATCCTACATATGCTGCTTTTCAGAAGGAAGGTATTGCATTAACTAGGCTATAGTGTGCATAGGATCTGACAGCATTCACTGGTGTTGAAGTCAGATGGTCTTCTGTGCAAGTCCCAGATCCTGTGCATCAGCAGTTGTTGCTGCAGAACAAGCACACCAAAACTGAGTGGTTTAAAAGCCTAAGGAATTATTTATCTGTGGGTAGGCTGGATGGTTCTGCTGACCTGGGCTGGGCTCACTCACGCATCTGTGGTCAGTGGTTGTCTAGGGAGGTTTGGACCAGGACAGACTCAATATATCTGGCAGCTGACTCTCAGTGGATCATCTAGGAATTAGCACATCTAAGATGGCCTTAGTCACATCTTCAGTGGTTAGCTATTGATCACAGAGTTCATAGGCCACATGTGTCTCATCTTCCAGTAGTCTAGACTCCTTCAGATGCACAGGGTTCTAGGAAATGAAGTAGCAGCATTTAAGACCTCTTAAGCCTAACCTCAGAATGGATGCACTGTCATATCTGCCACATCCTATTGGCCAAAGCAAGTGATAGTGGCAGCCCAGATTCCACCTCTTGATGGGAACAGCTGCAAAGTCACATTGCAAAGGATGAGGATCAGGAAAGGCAAAAAATTGTGGCCATTTTTGTAATTAACTTACCATAGTAACTATATGACTTAAGGCAGGTTTCTCAACCTGTTTTTACTCACCTGTAAAATGCAGATATTGCAATTGTTGTGCCCTATCTAAAAAGGTTAATGGTTCACACAAAGGGCCTAGTTTATCTAAATTTTCAGAAAATATTAGCTATACTAATGCTGTCCTCTAGGGTCTTTCCAGCCTGAACGTCTTACAATTCTGCATGGAAGAGAGATTAGGTTGATTTTTTGTGTGGCTTTCAGTGTAGAACTTTGGCCGACTTTCTAGTTTTTTTTTTCTTCATGCTAGTTAACACTCTTCTGGTTGTGGTACGGAAAACGACTCAAGCTAGCTCAGTTAAAGAAGCTGAAGCTACTGTTTGTCCCTACAGGTCCACTCTACCCTCTCCTCCCCTGACTCTTACAACTCCTCTAGAACATGGTTGTGGATAAAATGAGAGTTCCTGTGGCCAGGATTCTCACCTGGCCCTGGTTGACTAGCTCACTGCACACCTGTGGGCAATATATGGCTATTGACTCTACATAAAGAGCTCTGCCCAGTGCTCTGGGCACAACAAGGTGGCAGGGCTGCAAGGCTGCAGGAGAGCAGAGCAGAGGCTGGAGTGGTGGCAGTGCCAAGGACAGAGGACCAGAGGCAGAAACCAGCTTGCTGCACGCAGACTTGCTCTGAGTGAATGGGATTCTGGTGACTGACCTGCCACCTGGAAATAAAGTTGGGTATAACCCTTTCACCCCAAGAACGTTTTGCTGTCAATTTCTTTGGTCACATCAAATCCATAGTGAACTTGCCTGGGGCTGAAACCCACTGGCAAGACAATGGTCCAGCCAAGTGTTCTTAGCCCAGGAATCCAATATTACCATTCAGCTCTGTTCATTAGAGATAAATAGCCTGATTCTCATTATCCCAATTCCAAAATCTAAAAAGAGAATCTGATTGTTCTAGCACATCTCTTCTAATTTAATCAGCCGTGGCAGGATGGCTGGGCAGTCTTGGAGGGCAAGGACAGCCTTATGTGGGCAGCAAAGGCTGTGAGCAAGGGCAGTTCTTTCAGAAGATGGCTGTGAACCAGCAGACACAATGATTCACATTCCCGGGACACAGCCAGCCTTCTCTAATATTTTTAATTAACTTCTCATCAGTTAAAGTACTCACCTTCAAGGACCTTATACAAATCCGCTGCCTCTCTGAACATCTCGTAATAAATTGGACACAGGGAAGCTATTTCTCCCACCCACTTACCAAAACCTTACTATAT